TATCCTCACCAACACTATCAGGTATGAGGTGGTACTTGATTGTAGTCTTGATTTTCTATATACCTGTGGCCATCTGTATGCTTTTTGTTTAATTTTGTATTTTGATTTCATTTTAAGATATGTTTATCCAGGACCTTTGTCCAGATTTTGGTCAGGTAATTTGGTTTCTTGCTATTGAACTGAGTTCTTTATATTTTGGATTTTAACCCTTTATCAGATGTATGCTTAGGAATATTTCCTTCCATTTCATATGGTCTCTTCACTCTGTTGATTACTTCCTTTGCTGGGTAGCTTTTAAGTCTGATGTAATTCCATCTACTTTTGCTTTCATTTCCTGTTTTTTTGGGTTATATCCAGGGAAAAACTGCCCAAACCAATGTCATGGAGCTCTTCCCTGGTGTTTTCTTCTAGTAATGTCAAAGGTTCAGGTCGTTCGTTTAAATCTTTACCTCATTTTGAACTGATTTTTGTATATTATATGAGGTAAGGGTCTAATTTCATCCTTTCACATATAGATACCCAGTTTTCCTGACATCATTTATTGAAGAGACATTTCTTTCCCCATTGTTGAAAATTGGCACCTTTGTTGCAAATCAGTTGACTATGAATGTGTGGATTTATTTCTCTGCTCTTCATTCTGTTCCATGGGCCTACATGCCTGATTTTACGTTACTTCCGTGTTGCTTTGATTACTATACTTTTACAGTAGATTTTCAAAGAGTGTGATGCCTCTGGCTTTGTTCATTTGCTTAAGATTGCTTTGGTTATATTCAGGGTCTTTGTGGTTTCATATGAATTTTAGAATTGATTTTCTATTTCTTGGAAAAACGCAATGGAATTTTGATCAAATATGCTTTAAATCTGTAGATCACTTGGGGTAGTAGGTCTATTTTAACAATATTAGGTCTTCCAATCAATGAACATGGGGTATCTTTCTATTTATGTGTCTCTAAAAGAACTTTTTTTTAAAAAAAAAATTTTATTTATTTATTTTTAGTTGTAGCTGGACACAACAGCTTTACCTTATTTATTTATTTTTATGTGGTGCTGAGGATCGAACCCAGGGTCTCATACGAGCGAGGCGAGCGCCCTACCACTGAGCTACAATCCTAGCCCTCTAAAAGAACTTGATAAAAGAAATGGTGCCTTGTTTTACCTTGGGCACAAATTCACAGATGAGGAATTTTCTTCAATGAATAACTTAAGTACAATTTTTTAAATTATTTATTTATTTATTTTATACCAGGGATTGAACCCAGGGGCATTCAACCATTGAGCCACATCCCCAGCCTGTTTTTTACTTTTCATTTTGAGACAGGGTTTCACTAAGTTGCTGAGACTGATTTTGAACTTATGATCCTCTTGCCTCAGCCTCCTGAGCCACTGGGATTACAGGCATATACCACTGTGCTCAGCTAAAAGTACAAATTTCAAAAGATAATGATTCAATTTAATTATTGGATAATAGCATTTATTGAGTACCAACTATATGCCTAGAACTTTAGTGGGCATTCTGAAATATATAGGGAAGAAACGTGTGAATCATTTGCATGGGACAGATGAATAGTGGATGTAGTTATTCCTTTCACTACAGAAGTAATCTCACAGAATTAAAATCTAATAGAAAATGAAATATTCAAAGCAACTTCCCAAGGGGAAGTGAGTTATCAAACAGCAGATGACATTCCCCACTTAACATTCCTTAAATGGATAGAGCTCATCAGTGAAACTCTGGGAACTAGCTTCCTTTTCTTCTATTTTCAAGAATCTCAGTATCAGGATATAATACTCATTCCCTCCTCAATGGAGCTACAGAGCCAGTAAGACTTGAAACAGAGACAGACACTGACCATAAAGTGTAAAGAAATCTTCTCTTGAAGGGCTCTTTACATTTTTTCAGAATCATCAAAATCAATTAAGCTTTGTCTGAAATCTAGATTTTGTTTCAAGAATTCTCTACTTAGGGGAATTCTTAAATGTGAAATAAGTAGAGAATTCTTAAGTAGGGAATTCTTAAATGTGAAATATGTAACTGCTTGAGAATTCTTTAGTTCATTTCATTTTTAGTCCTTCTATAAGGATACTCAGGAATCTAATCATACTAATTGGAATAGATATAATGTTATCCAGAAAAAAGAAAACACTTCTAAGGAAATCAAAGTGAATATTTTAGAAGATGTACTCTATGGACTGCTCTCATGCTGAATGCCCTTAATTGTCTAAGCCCCACCTGATAGAGAACAAGGACCTCAATCTCATCCATCGCCTTTCAGCAGGAAGCAATTTGGAGATGTCATGGCCCATTTTTCCACAGAAATGAAATGGAGAAATTGATAGTGGGGAAATGTAACCGTGGTCCACTTTATGCTTTGAATACAGCCCTTGCTGCTCTGCCATTGCAACTGATTTTTTTAATGGACAGGTTTCTTTCTCTTCATCTCTCCCTGCTCTTCCCTAATCTGTTCCCATCTCTAACTTCAGGGGGAAAAGAATTTCTTTTCTTCCCCACCTAGGCAGATTTATCTGTCCTTTAGTACACATACACCACAGAAGAAGTAATCCAGACTTTGGGGATGGTACCAGAAGATCTAAGAAATGACCATCTCCCAAATTAAGTGAATTACAACTCCAAGAGAACACGTGGAATTTAGCCTTTGAATCACCTCTTTAAAAAAACCTCCTGTTCCTGTTGATGGGCAGAATCACAGCCTTTGAAACAGGAGTTCCTTGTGTTTCTCCTTTGCTAGTAAAGCAATAAACTTTCTTTTTCTTTTTTCTTAAAAAAAAAAAAAAAAGATGTACTCTAACAAGTAAGAATTTAAATTCCATAAATTCTAACTTTTATAAACAGAAGCCAGTATAACTATAGAAGTAGGAACAAATAACCAAATATAAATAAATACCTTAGATTTATAAGCATATTAGAAGGGCTAAAAAGTTTAAATTAAGGAGAGGCTTCTGTATATGCCAGAACTAATACAAAAGTTTTTAAAGTTGTAATGCAAGTTTGCAAAGAGAAAATAAAGATCTATATGGGGTGGGGAGAGATGGTATCATGTTAACAGATGACAATTAATGAATAATTAATTCCAATTTTAATCCCACTGCCTCTGTTAAGGAGAATGATCTTCATTTGATGAATGAAAACCAGATGCAAAAGAACACATCATTCTACCTATATAAAATTTAAAATATGCAAAATAATCCATGGTATTAGGAATCAAGATAATGGTTGACTCAAGGGTTGGTGGTGCCTAGGAAGGGGTTCTGTAGTACAGAGAGTATTTTCTTTCTTAATCTAGGAGCTGGTAACATGATGTGTTCATTTTACAAAAATTCTTCATCTAGTTGTATACTCAAGATGTGTGGCCTTTTTTGTATGTGTAATATTAAAAAGAAGAAGCTAAGTCCAAAGTGTTAAGACTGCCAAGCAGCTCATCTTACTTCACTAAGCTAAGGCTTACTTCATTTCTCTGGTCCAAATGACCCAAGATTCTGAAAGAACTTGCAAATATGACTTTAAAAACACTATTATGTCCGTATAAGAATTAAGAAGTTAGCTGGGCAGGGCATAGTTGTGTATGCCTGCAATGTCTGCAATCTCAAGTGACTCAGGAGGATGAGGCAGGAGGATCCCAAGTTCAAGGTCAGCTTCAGCAAACTTTAGCAAAACCCTGAATAATTTTTTTTTTAAATATTAAATAAAAATTTAGAAAAATAAAGTCTAGGTATGTGGCCTAGTGGTACAGTACCCCTGGGTTCAAGTCAGAAGAGGGCAGTGAGTAGCAGGGGCTGGGGGAATGGAAGGGATAGGGGGAAAGAGAAGTTTTTAACAGGATACTGCAATTAGCAAGTATTTTCAAATTTAATAAAATAAGTGGGAAGGGGTATAGAAGAATGGAATTCAGAAACTATATACTATACCAATTAGCAAAATGTTGATGTTGGGCAAAACTTTAAAACTTTAGTATGTCAATATTTGGAGGGGGGAGCTAATTCTAATTTATTTTTCATATTTTAAGTTATGTTAGAATAAATGTTTATTCAGACAAAATCCTTTTAATTTCCAATTTTAAAAACCTCAGCCTGTATTATGGTTTGTACCTGAAATGTCCCCAATGCAACAGTTTTCAGAGTTGGGGCCTTTGGGAGGTAACGAAATTATGAGGGTTCTAACCTCATCGATGGATTCATCTGGCAAACGGTACTGTTACTTTTTAAAGTTTTAGAGATTTTAAAGGGTCTAAAGAAAAAATAAAAAATAAATAAATTTTAAAAAAGGTTCTAGAGATTCTGAAAGGGTACATATTTTCAGAATTAAGACATTTCTTTTATTTAAAACTGAAAGTTCCAAGATGGTAATTTAATATAGGAAAGAGTTTTAGAAGTGAATTAGATCAGGACAAGAATCTAATCTAAGACTAACATCAGGGTCTGAAATAAATTTCGAATTTATTCTTAGAAAGTACATGTATCTAGAGGGAATTCATTATGTATATCTTCTTGATTGGCAATTTAAATATTTGCTTTAAATAAAGTGGGTTAAGCAGGAAAATTTGATGACAGTAACTCTTAAAATAATGGAAGAGAGTATTTTAACAGCAGTTACATTTGACTGGTAAGATACAAGGTTTTTCCTACTTCTATTTTCCTAAAATACCTCTAGCAAGTATATGGAAGTTTTATATGGGAAAGGGGAGAGGAATCCTAGCTAGTAGTACATAGCCCAGAGAAAGAGAATATGAAGGAAAAGTATCCAACTTCATCAGATCTTTGAAAATTTCAATGATGATAAAGTACTACTCACAGTACCTAGTACACTTGATAAATGGAAGATATTGTGAGTATATACCACTGCAAATTAATGATGTGTCTTTATGCTGTTTTTATTTAGGGATGACCACTAATTTGTCACAGTATTTTCATTATTCAAGTTAAACAGAATTCTAACATCAGAAAAATCATTTAACTTGTTTTCTTTAAAGGCATATTTCTCTTACCTTCCGCAGTTCAACTGTCACCTCATTTCTGTGTCTTCGCATGGTCTAAAAAGAAAAATAAAGATTACTTAAGTCCCAAAATATTGATACTGCTGGTATGGTCTCAGGTGTTTGAGATTTAAATTTTTTAGAAGCAATTTAATCTTAAGAATTGAGAACTAACTGGGGCTGGGATTGTAGCTCAGTGGTAGAGTACTTGCCTACCACACGTGAGGCACTGGGTTCAATTCTCAGCACCACATATAAATAAATAAAACAAAGTTCCATTAACTAAAAAAATAAACAATTAAGAACTAACCATTGTTAGATTTTAAATGATGAACTAAAATTACATAAAAACCCAAAACTCTCAGTTTTACTCAATATCACTGGTTTTGATCCTTAGCACCACATAAAAATAAATAAATAAAGATATTGTGTCCATCTACGACTAAAAAAATAATTGAAGAAAATAGATGGAAAGAGGTTAACTGATATTTTGACATGCTCTAAAACCAGAATTAAAAAGCAAAATAAACCCCAAACAAGAAGAAGGAAGTAATAAAGAACAGAAATTGATGGAATTTTAAACAGGAAAGGGGAAAAAATAATGAAACAAAGATCTCTCTGGGGGTGGGGGGGGGACCCACAATCAGCTGGACACAGTAGCGCACACCTGTTAATCCCAGCAGCTCGGGAGGCTGAGGCAGGATAATTGAGAGTTCAAAGCCAGCCTCAGCAAAAAATGAGGCACTAAGCAACTCACTGAGACCCTATCTCTAAATAAAATACAAAATAGGGCTGGGGATGTGGCTCAGTGGCCAGGTGCCTGAGTTCAATTCCCAGGAACCGCCCCTAATCAAAAAAATCAGTAAAACTGACACAAGACAAAAAGAAACAAAAAGAGGACATAAATTTACCAATGTTGGAAATCAAAAAGGTGATATGACTAAGGCCTTAGAAATAAATACTAAAAGGATCTATGGCGGGGGTGTGGAGGGGTGGCGTTAAAACCCTCAGATGATGGGACTGGTATAGATATTCTGGAAAACAATCTGACAGATCTTCAAAAGTTATACACTGAGTTACCATAATACAGCAATTCTACCCTTAGGTATACATCTACAAGATAAAAACCTATATCTGTTCAAAAACATACACACAAATGTTCACAGCAACACAGCAACAATAGCCAAAAGGTGAAAACAACCCAAATGTCCATCAATTGACAAGGACAGATACAGAATAGTATATCCACAGAGTAAAATATTTAGTGACAAAAAGGAATGAAGTGCTCACCCATACTAGTAACATGCAAGAACCTTGAATACAGGCCATGAGAAAAAAAACAGTCACAACGGATCCCATATTATATGGTTTCATCTCTGTGAATGTCCAGAGTAGGCAAATCTATAGACAGAAAATGGTTCCACATTTCTACAAATATACTAAAAATCATTCAGTTATATACTTTAAATGAATGAATTATATAAGAATTATATTTAAATTAGTGAATAAATAAATCAGAACAGGCTTTCTATATCTAATAACCATTTTTTAGGAACATGGGAACAGAGAGACATACTAAACAACACTGGCATGGCAATCAGCAAAATCTACCATAACTCTGTTTCTCTTAAAACAAAAGCAACAAGGCAAAAAGGGCGAACAGGCAGTTTGAGAAACAAAGAAGAAATCTATATATGAACAGAGGTTTAAGATATCAATCAGTCACAACAAATAGACATTAATTGGCAACTGATCTAAACAAAAACTATAGGTTTTATATACACACAAGCTTTACATATAGAACACAACTGGGGAAATGCGAACACTGGACATTTAATGGAGTTACTACTGTTAATTTTATCTATAACAAAAATCCTTTACTTTTAAGGATATATAACAAATATATATCTAAAAATAGAAAATAAATTCACCAATAAGAAAGACCTCTAAACAAACCTAAAACCCAAACACATGGATACTTGGTATGACAGAGGTGGCATTGCAAACCACTGGGGAAAAGACTATTAAGTAAATGGTACTGGACCAATAACTCATAATGAGAAGAAAAAAAAATTGGAGACCCTAATCCTAACCCATACAGAAAAATCAATTCCAGATGGATTGAAGACTTTGAAAGCAACACTTTAATTTTTTAAAGTAAAATATTTTATGATCCCTGAATGGAGAAAGATTTCTGAAGTAGAACACAAAAAGTGCAGAAACAAAAGAGCAATGTCATCAAAATTAAGGACTTCTATTTTTTTTTTTAATTTTAATTTTATGACAGCAGAATGCAATTCAACTTATATTACACTTATAGAGCACAATTTTTCAAGTCTTTGGTTGTACACAAAGTAGAGTCATACCATTCATGTCTTCATACATGTATTGAGGGTAATGATTATCTCATTCTACCATCTTTCCTACCCCCATGCCCCCTCCCTTTCCCTCCCTCCCCTTTGCCCTATCTAAAGTTCAAAGGACTTCTATTCTTTAAGATTCCACACAATCAAACTGGGAAGATATTTAAATAACAAATAGTGACTACCCAAAATATATCAAGTTCTCCTATACACCAATAAGAGACAATAGAAAAATATGTAGGAAGATCAAAAATACATTTTTTAAATCATAAAATTATAGCTGACATAAAAAGGTGGTCAACCTAATTAGGCAAATTCAAATTATGACCACATTGAGATACCATTTTGCATTTACTTTATTACCAAAAATTAGTAATAAAGATGTAGAACAACTGGTAAACTGTCAAATAGTATAACCACTTTTGGGAAACAATTCGGCAAAATCCAGTGAAGTAGAAAAATACCCAAATGACATCACAGCTCTACTCCAAGGTATAAACCCTACAGGAATTCTTGCATATATGTGCCATGAGATATACAAGCAGTTTCTTGGCGTCCCTGGTCTGTAATAGCGAAAAATTTTTTAAAAATAATAAAAGCATCCCAAATGTTCATTAAAAGAATAAATGAACTGTCAAATATAATTATTGCTCAGCAATAAGGATGAATGAACTACATGCAGCTATATTAACAAATCCAGAAATGTTAGGTGAACAAAGCTAAGTTTTTTAAAAAAACATTTTGATATTATTTTTTTTAAAAACAAGCAAGCAAAATTAGTACTGTAGAAATTTCAGGATGAAATCTATAAAATCTATAGAAATAAATCTATAGAAGTAAATCTATAGAAGCAAAGCAATGATTTATATAAACCTGTGGCAGTAGATTAATTCTGGAAGGAAAATAGGAATAGGATCGGTTTCTCAGGGCACTGGTGATGTTCTAATTCTTAAATAGTATACTGGATTCATGGATATTTGTTTTATTATTGCTTCAAAACTTGTTATCTATTTGTGTATAAAATATTACTTTTAAATGTTTAAAGGAAAGAAAATAATGCTGATGTTGTACCCAGCATGTAATTTGGGCTGACAACAGTTATGATGATCCACTGACATTTTGCTTCCATTTCACTCTTGCCTAGTAGCATCAACTACTAAACTGCAATCATGCAAAGTAAAAAATAAGGTTAATAATTCCCCACCAGAATTCAATTCAGAGTGTGACCCCCAAAACACTAGATAATCAACACCTCTCTAGTATCTAATTCAAAATCTCATTCACCTTCCCATATTCTACTTTGGGTTAACTGTTCTCAAATTTTAGCCTGAATCAGAAGTGCATAGCTTGTTGAAACAAACTTTTAGGCTCCATTCCCAAAGATTCTCAAGCAGCAGATCTGAAACAAGGTTAAAATTGCTGTTTCTAACAAGATCTCAGTTGATGTTGTTGATGCTATTAGTCCAGGAACCACACACTTAGAACACTGTTCTAATTAAACACAAATATATAGTAACACAATCACCACCAAATTAGAAATCATCAAAATCCTACTGAACAGTTTTCCTTTAAGGTAATTAAAACAATGTGAATTATTTAGCACACATAGACTACATATGCTGGACAAATTACATTAACGTACTTTCCCATGATGACACAGCAAAGTAGTTAGAAACATCTGCTCTGGAGTCAGCCTGAGTTTGAATCCTTGCTCCCCAACATGTAAACCTCATGATATTCTGGGAATATTATGGGTCTCTGTTTTTTTGGTTATAGATGGATACCACAATACCTTTATTTTGTTTATTTTTATGTGGTGCTGAGAATCAAATCCAGTGCCGCGCGTGTGCTAGGCAAGCACTCTACCACCAAGCCACAACTGCAGCCCTTGTTATGAGTCTCTTTGAAGACAATCTCTCACTTCAAAGGATTCCTGAGATTAAGGAATCCAGTTACGTTTAGCGTTTTTTATTTTTTTAATTTCTTTCATACATGACAATAGTGGAGTGCATTACATTCATAACAAGGGCAGTGCCTGGCACAAAGAAAACCTCCAATAAATGTTAACTATCTTCATCATCATTGTTAATTATTCCACTTATGTCAGGGTCAATGTCTCAACAACCTCTACAGAGCTTTTGCCCAAATGAAAAAGTTTTATAATCACCTATCATCTTGTGCCCATTCTCATTTCTGTCACCACTCATTGAAGACCTGTCAAATGCCTATTGTTCTCTCTGGTTCAAATCCTGACAATACCTCTGGTAATGTCAATACAATCCTTCAAATAGTCCAGTTTAAGAGGTTGACCAGGCACAGACCAATGCTCTTCCCCTTACTCCTCACCCCATTCAGTTTCAGTTTCACTACGACCAAGATTCTATCGTAATCCTTTTTATTAAGAACCAGCTACAAATCTATCACTCCAAATAGAATAAATTTTGTCAGTTTTACATTTCTTTCAAAAACTGTGAAACACTGAATATTTTCCACGAAATGACTAGACTCTCCATTGAACACTACTGTACACTAATTTGGGGAATCCCTATCCATAGCAGCACAACTCTGAGAAATTCTCTAGACCCAATATAAGGCACTGTAAAATTTCCTGTAAATTAGCCATTTAATAAATTGACCTAGCTCCACAAAGATTACTTAAATCCCTGAACTCCTTGATTTTCTCTCTATCAAGTC